TGATTTACATAAGCTTTATTTAGGTAGGCAGCACATAATATGACCTAAATAGGAAATTTCTGAAATCCTTATATTTTACAGTCATTCAAATTCTCTGTGGACCTGCAGCTCAGCTGTGGATTTAAAGAACTCTTATTCACAGAGGGCACACTGAGATTCCACTGCAAGTCTTATTTTAAAGTGATTAAAACTTGCTATATGGGTACTTGCTTTTTTCATAAACTATGAAAACAAAGTTATATCCTAATTTTATACTATAAAGACTTCCAGTTTTCAAAATTTGGGCTCAAAATGCAAAATGCAGTAGTTCTAGCATGACTTTTTGATGGATTTGGCTTTCCACATTTCCCACTTGCTTATAATAGCTAACATGTTTCCATATGCAGAACCCAAGATCCTTGTAGTAGTTTGGATAGGTAATCCAAAGCACTACATATTATTTTAATCATTTATTCTAATCTCACTTCATCCAGGTCCATGGCATTATGGCTGAATAGATCCAATAATTTAAATATGGGAGATGGGGGAGTTTTCAATGCTCCAAGCAAGACAGTCCCAAGTTCAAATGGAGATAACACAGAAATGTGCTTCAAGTATCTTGCATTTCTTCCAGGTAAAAAGGGAAAGCTTTGTACTTGTGACTATCTAATTATTTGAAGCTAAATCCTACAGTATATGAAAAAATGTTAGATCTAAATCCTTAATATTATCCTTGGAAAGGTTCAATGTAAATTCGTGAAGACAGCGCTCCAAATCTCCAAGTATGTCCCAAATGCCATCCTCTAGGTGAAGGCTGGTTTATTTAAAGAACCTAGTGATTGTTGGCAATTTTAATTTTTTTAAGGGAAGTTAAACTTTATCTGGATAATTCCTATTAATCTGGAACCAGAACCTGTTGGATAAACTGTCTCCCAACACCATAAAGCTAAAGATTTTCCTGTCCATGGGTTCTGGTCAAACTACAATACCTCTTAAACTAGAAATCCTGGAAATGAAAAGGCAAAATAAGCTTAATTTAGCTCCTAACAGTACTAGGCCTTGGAGTTAGAATCTGAAGCAAAGTCTGTAGCCATTCATATATTTTATCATTTTGGAATTTGAAACCTAACCTAGGAAGAACAGGCCTAAATTAACATCTTTTCATCTGCATCCTTGCCCAGGAAGCTCAGGGATAGTCAAAATGGTTGAGCAAAATGGATAAATACAGTATAGTACAGTATATAGAGATCTATATAGTAAACTGTTATACTCCAGTTGGTAAACTTACCTGGCTACCAAGATGAATTCTTCCTTATTTGTGGACAGGCAACCTACTAAGAACTACTGAATTCAAGCACAACAGTCACAGCTAAGAGAAGAAAGACTGGGGAGACAGACATATGTGAGGCTGCTACAGGGAAGAAAGATGAGAAGGACAAATGGACTGGGCAGGCATATGGCAACTAAAGGAAAGGATCAGTAGTGGTATGCTGCACTTGAATTCAGGTACAATGGCAACAAATGGGAAGGGAAAGCAGGCTGACACACTGGAAATTTGAAAGGAGGAGGAGCTAGGAGCAGTACTACTTGCATCAGCCTTATCCTCATCATCTTGCACTACTCTTCCAGATTCTTTCTCTGACAAAACCTGGAATCAAAATGATCCAGGTTTTGTTTTGGCTGAACAGCAACTATTCCAGAAATGTTTTCAGAATTCGAAGATAAATCATACTATTTAATGTACCAATTTATTAAAAAATTTCATAGACACCTATATCTAAATGCTAACAATATTGGGGTCATATGCAGCAATAATAAGTCACCAGCAAAACTGCTGTGCTCTCTTCATTTGTGGAGTTTTTATGTTACTATTGGGTATAGTAATTCATTAATATGTTTTATTTACTATAATTTCTATGACACATCAATCAAACCAAGTTACAAGATAGAGGAAATTTCAGCAAAACAATAATATTGTATATAATAATAAAAATTTTCCAAAAATCTTGCATTATTTCATATTTTATTATATATTTTTTATTATTATTATATCATTATTATATCATCTGGTATTATTATACCAGAAGGCTCTCTGAAATAGCCAACTGTTTACAAGTGTCTTATCAGGGAAGGAGTTTAAATTATTATTGGGCAAATTATTTCACATGAGGAAGTGGGGCTTCAAAAAAAATGCTTATTTTTGAGCTTCCTTCCCACCAGAATTCCTAGTGATTGGGATTACCAAACATATCTGATTAGTGCAGATTGTTCAGGTAGTCTTTGACATATCGTTGGTCACTTAGTCATCCTATAAAGTTATGACAGACTCCAAAAGGGATTTATGAGCCAAATTTGAAGTTCTAACATCTACCCTCTAGTCAGGGTATTTAGGGCATTTGGCAACCAGCCTGCATTACAGCCATTTGCAGTGTTCCATGATCATATCACCACAATTTACAATGTTTTGCTGGAAATTGGTGGTTTCATCAAAACCCACTACATGGTGAATAATGTGTTCACTTAATGACTGTGGCTTTCGCTTAATGACAAGTGCAAAAAAAGATAATAAAATTAGATGTGGTCATGTGTGATCAACTATATGATCATAACTAATGCAAAAATTGTGGGCTCAAGTGTGATCATAATTTGAGGGCTACCTGTATTTGAAGTGTACAGCATCAAAGATACCCAAGTTCCAAGCCATACAGAACTATATAGACAATAACCAGCACCTTTAATTGTATCCAGAAATAAACTGGTAGACAAGTACAGCTTACATTAAATAGGGATTAAAAGGTTGTACATGGTTTAATCCATTAGTTACAGGCAATCATATTCTGTACTATCTGAAATTTCTAGGTGGGCCTCATATGCAATATGCTGCAATAGGCCAATTAAGAAATGTCAAAAGTATGAGTGACTGTCACCAGAATCCCCACTCCAGGAAAGTCTCTTTTGCACAATCATTGACTGGCATTCCTAGGAAAGAAGAAATGGAACCATAACTGAACAGAATCACAGCAATTTGGAAGGTTGATAATACTGAAAACTGAAGGATTCAATAATATGAAGATAATCATGCTCCCACCACCCAATTCTATAAGAGGGCACCCATGAGACTAAACAATATGATTTTTATCACACGCCTAGGCTTCCTGGCTCAAAAGTCTTTATGTAAACCATTTCCTTCAGAATTGTTTGTAGCTACAATAATACAACTTTCTCTAGAAAAGAAAATTTGCAGACTGGGCAACAATAATCTAATATAGCTAGGTGCAAAGATATCCTCTTAAAGATGGACAATAAATTCTTCTTTTAAAATTAATACTTGGTTTCCTTCCCACATCCATGAGGAAAAGTGGAGAACAGTACAAGCAGTGATAGAGGGTAAAACCAATGTGATATCTAATTATCTGCATATTGAGTTGAGATTAGGAAGCTAGAAGTGGGAAATGATCATACATGACAATCTCTTTTTTCCTGTAACAGCTCATCCTTCCATACCACCTCAGTTATAATCTATTACTGCTTTTCCTACTTTCCTACATTCATCTAATACAATTCCTTCAACTTTACTTTTTTATAGCACACAACTCTAACCCTTCTTTTCCAATGAATTTTAATCTCATTCCAAAATTGGGAGCCCTCCCTGTTCTCTCCCTTTGAGTGGGAGCCTTTCTTCTCTATTCCCCATCTTCCACCAAAGAAATGAAACTGTACTTTTCATCACTTTCTTTGCCATTCCTCCAATGTTCCCTTTACTAAGTCCTCACACCAAGCTATAATCCTTGAATAAAATGAAGCTGAATGGAGTCCATTCAATTACCTCCACATTTAGTACCCAGTTAATTCCCAGTCACAATTTTTCACTCCTTGTTCCTTCTATCTATCTTTGATCCTTTGTCAGCACTTTATTTATTAAATTTATATGCCACCCATCTCGTTGTCAAGATGTGCTGCTTGTCATTTCCTCTACTGTTCATGCTGGCTTCCACTTTCCCTCATGATGGATGCCAACTAACCTCCACCCACAAATACACTTATCTTTGGACACAGCAGTCACTGCCACTGAAAGCCCAATTTCTGGCCTCTCCAATCAGTGCTACCAGCCCACAGTTTGCAAAACTGATAAAATTTCCAGGGCATGTACCTGCTTTCTTCCTGTCAGCTAGACAGAACAGGTATACATGTTATTGATTATTCACTCTCTGGACTTTTAAATACTACTCTTATGTCTGCAGAAATTCCTAATGCTAATAGAAACACCTTATATCCAAACATTAAAGACCTGAAAATATTTAACATAAAATATGTTATATTGGACAGCAAAAAAAATACAATAAATATCCATTGCTGGCATTCACAAAAAGCAGGCTTGAATGAAACAATAGATTTTCATGAACACATCTAGAATGTCAGAGGAAAACCAGAAGAGAACACAAAACTTAAACCATGAAATATTTGATAACCCATCCAAATCTCAAATTCAGTAATGTTTTAGAAATATACCTAAAACCTATCCTGTGTATACATTGTTTTTCAAAACAGGATGTCCACATTGTGGCCATCTGTTGCCTGAGGATGTAAAGCTGTTTTGATCTTAAATTATTTCTCTAAACATGCATATCAAAAAACATGTCCCATTGTAGCCAGTGGTACACATATCACTAAGTCACCGTATCAGTGTCTGAGATTACTATATACTGTAAAAATTCACAAGAATTTTGTGTTGCATTAATCCTAAAAGTCTTGGGCAATTTGTTTATAACTTTTAACCTATTACCAAAGACAAAGTAGTTTGTTTTATAACTTTCGGGCTATAAAACAAGCTCTTTCAAATTATACTTAAAAGAGGACTTTCTGGGAATCTTAGATAAGTTTTCAAAAATAGTCTGTCAAACTGAACAGATTTATTACAATAGATTAATAAATTATAAACACCGCCATACTGTTTCCATATATTGTGTTTCAAGTTGTGTTTTGTCATTAAATGAAAACCCAGGCTATCATAATTTTGTTACTTTTAAAATATTTAGTTTTATTAGATTTTTATCTCTTTATTACTTTATAAGGAACTCACATTGATGTACATACATAAGAATAGTTCTTCCACTTCCTCTTTTTTCCAGTAACAACAACCCTGTGAGGAGGGCTGGTCTGAGAGAGAGTGACTGGCCCAAAGTCATCCAGCTGCTTTTTCATGCGTAAAGTGGGACTACAACTCCAGCGTCTTGTTGCTTCTAGGCCAGCACATTAACCACCACCCCAAACTGGCACGTGTGCATTCAGTTAATTTGATTTTGTTAAAATCCATATGCAAAAGCAAACATTAATGTCAGAATAATAACAGGGAAATGTATTTTGTCAACATGTTTGCTGAAAAATCTTTATACTGGCAAATTGTTTTTGATTTTAAATTCTTCAGTAGTTTAAAGCTTGGCTATCTGAGGGACAAAAAATAGAGAGATTTATCACAGATCTGTTACAGATGCTTATTTTGGGGGCACACAGGATGAAGTCTCTGGCAGAATTTCTCCCGGATGGAAATGAATTCCTTTTAGAGTTACTGTAACTCTCCATTCAGCCTTCACTCAAGAAGAATATCAAGATACATTTTAAATTTACTTTTTGAACAATTTTAATGTGCTACTATAGGTACTGTTTTATGTTTGTGTTGTTACTTTGATTAAGTGCAGTTAAACATAGTTGTTTTGTTATGTTTCCTGAGTTTGGGTTCTAAGGTAAAAAGATAGAATACAAATTGAACTAATAATAGTTTAGACCTACAAACATGTATGTCTGAAGGAACCTATTCTCTGCTTTCTAACAAACACAGCACTGAGATTTATATACAGTACTCAGATTTAGTGTTTTTCAGCCCTGTGAAAAGTGGTTTACAGAGTCAGCATATTGCTCCCAACAATCTGGTTCCTCAGTTTCTCAACCTTGGAAGGGTAAGAATTGGGGCTAGAATTTCCATTGCTAATAGATGTCATTTATGAGTTCTTGCCAGCTGTCTCGCTGACTGCTTATAGGGAATCAGCAAAGAAGGTTGCAAAAGGTGCTCACATAACCTCAGGAAACTGTGAAGAGCAGAAGCGGTTGTAGGTACCACTCATTCAGCACTGTTGCAAATTTGAATACACACTGAAAAAGTGGTCATTAAAGCAAAGACCACCTGTACTGACATTTATAAAAATATTCAAAGGCAGCCTTCTAAACACAGGAATGGATATAATGAGTCTACACTGTGCATCAATTTATGTTTCTTTTACATGGATTATTGTAAAAGCTATGGGCACTAGATTCATAAATTACATTAAGTCTACAGATCAGATTTTATAAATGATAGTATCTGGATTCATACAATACACTTGGATAAATCCAAACAAGCTACATTATGATTTAACACAATTTCTGAAACTGCAGTTTCTTATTACAACATATTGTGGCAAGTAGTATTACAACAAAGGAGACAAAAACATTTCACATTACGTACATATCAATAAGCAAAAGTGGCTTTAGAAGTACAACCACCTTTCAAATAGATTTATTTATTTTATATGTATTTATTTTGGGGGCTCTTAAGCTGCTTTAACCATAGTACACTGTGACTGCATACATACCTGATACAGCAATCAAATTAAAATAACGCATATAATAAACAACCAAAATATTTCTGTACTATTAACAAATATCTCACATATAGATATCCCTTTGGAGAGAAGAGTAAGTTAACATATCAAGCTCCAAGTGCCAAGCATATACAACTTCTCAAAAACTCTGAACCATGGGTACATCAAATTTCATATCCAGCACAAATCAAGTATTACATGCACAATCCCATAAGCTTCTTATTCCTAGATCTTCTGTTTTACCTACGTTATTGTTTAGCTTATTAGCTTTATCCAGTCCATTATTACCTTTCTAAAGACTTTGTTACTATTCTTACCATCAACTACATAATATTATGAAACATTGTGTTAAATATTAATGAATTTTATGTAATTCATGTGGCTATTTAATAATTTATTTTATGCAATACCTGTAGTGAAAATCTCACAAAACTCAAGAAGACTAATAGCAGTAATTGAAGAAAAAATTCTCAAATTAGGAAGAGAAAACGCTCCAAATTATATGAGAAGTCTGAACTGCTTTTGGTGACCTAAACTTCTGTTAGAGCAGGGGTCTTCCAACTTGACAGCTTTAAGACTTCTGGACTTCAACTCCCAGAATTCCTCCTCCAGTCATGTTAGCTCAGGAATTCTGGGAGTTGAAGTCCACAAGTCTTAAACTTGCCAAGTTTGAAGACCCTTGTGTTAAAGAGTTTTATTCTGTTCAACTTTCAAGTTTTCAGTCAAATGTATGTTTAAATTTTCCGTTTTCTGATGACATAAAATCCACAAATACAATAGACCACTATAGTTATTTATTTATCCAATTTATTGGCCACCCATCTTACCACAAGGTAACTCTGGGGGGCTTTTATTATTGTAATATTATTGTATTATTGTACGGTAATGTTAACAGTAAGAAAAGTTGATGTTTCAAATAGTTCTTTTTGCAAAATTTCTTAAAACCATCTTTCCATGTAGGAATAATTCCATATTATGTCACCATGAAAAGTGAGCAGTTTTAGGTATTTTTTGTCCCTAATCAAACTTTAATTTAATAAAATATTATTTTTAAGTGACTAATGCCACACCTTTATAGCCAGTGATCTTAATTGTTCCTGCTCCTAAATTATTTTGGTCATTCTTTTTGGCATTTTCTCCAGTTCTATAATACTGTGTTTCCTTGAAAATAAGACCCTGTCTTATCTTTTCTTTGCCACTAAAAAAGGCACCAGGTCTTATTTTTTGAGGTGTGTGTGTGTGTGTGTATGTATGTATGTTTGTGTGTGTGTGAGGATGTCGTCCACTGACTCACTTCACTTGTGTGCGTCGCCCCCAGCCTCCTTTTTGCTGTCAGAAGCCTTACAGAACTTCTTTAGCTTTGGATAATTGCAGCCAGGCCTCACACCTTGGCCCATTCCTTTTGCAGCCAGCAAGGCTTTATTGAAGGCTTCTGTAGCCGATAACAGAGCTCTAGATCAATCCAGGAAATCAAGCTAGGATTTACTTTCGGAGTAGGCCATATTTTCAGGGAAACACAGTATTATTTCTGAGGTTAGTGAACTGATCTGTACATATTATTCCAAGGACAGCTGCATAATAAATTTGTACACAGGCTCTAGCAGCTTCTTTTTTTACCTTTTTCTTAACAAGCCAAATATTAAATGTACTGTTGAACAGCAGTTATAGTTTTTAATCAAACTATGTACCAGAACTTCATTGCTTCTTTTCTAGTCAGTCATTGACAAATCAGATCCTATCTGTATATATTTAAATTAGGGAAAGTTGTGTGTGTGCTTAAAATACGCATTCCCTAAATTTTGAAAGAGCCTTTTGAGACTGCTTGAACTATCTTTCATTTTTAGTTATTTTAAATAATGTATCATATGACCAGGAAACCCAGAAAAAAAAAACATTAATTCATGAATTTGAAAAGGACTGCTTCCAAAACAGTTCCTTGGAGAGATACGTGGGAAGGGGTTACTTTTTTTGTCAACTGGCAGAACCTTCCATTATTACTATTTGTTGCTTTCTATTATTAATCAGGTATTAATCTGCATGTATTTTATTTATTATAACCCAATTCTATCACCACTATGTATTTGTACTGCATATCTTCTTTTTCATGTAAAAATAACTACAGTAAAATTGCAAAAAACTTTTACTTCAAACTTAAATCTTTCTATCTATAAATAAACATTTATAATACAAATTGAAAACTATAAAAAATGTACGGGAGATAAACCTGATTCAATGATATTGTACTGTATAACTTAAATTTGATTAGGTTTTCTAGACACTGAAATAACACACACCTTTTAACCTCTCATGAAGGAATAGATTCCAGAATGTAAAAATTATAATTATATATGTTTACTACTGCTGTTTGTTTCAGCCAGCCATTGTGTGATTTTGGTTAAAAAACATTGATGACTAGCTTCTGTTAATCCTTATTCAAGAGTCAATACTATCCATCCAAAGATGGAAAACAGAAATTGGCAACCTACAATTCATATTTGGTCCTTGACATAAAAATAATTCAACTATTTACCATGGTTTCTGTAGCCATGCACCTCAACAAGTGACTCTAAGCATCCTACATCATAGATATATATCTCACTGCTTTGGTTTTCTATTTTACTTTAAAAAAACATTGAAGACAACTGTATAATCAGTTTGCACAGCAGAATTATTGAAGAAGAAAGCAAGAAGTAACTCAAGAGAATTTAGAAGATATTACCACCCAAGCTCTACCTATGGCTCCTAATCCTCCCCGATGCATTTATTTAATGCATTAGATGCATTACTGATTTCAGAATAATTGTTAAGGATTACAAAAGAAAGGAAGTATACACAATTTTGTTTGAAAGATTAAGTTTTTTAAAGCAACATTTGTAAATTTGAAAGTTATAAATAATCGTCATCAAATAATCATGAAATAAGAGGATTACTTTTAAAGTTATCTTCCTAGATCCATTTAGATTCCCTATTGATAAATCTGCAAAACTATTAATAAATTCTTATCAATCCTTTTTGTCTTCTTAGTAAGTATGGCATAAATCCCTCAGGAGGAATGGAATGTGTCATCCAACTTTTTCAGGACAAATTGACCTATTTGATTCTATTTTGGAATAAGAAGTAGTTAATAAATGAATACATATAACATTGAAGACCCGAAATACCAAAATACAATATCTGTCTGTCTGTCTGTCTATCTAGAATTTTTTCCCCCAAAACAGTGAATTTGGAGGGGAGGGAATGTCATGTTAAATTTACTAAGAATAACAGAGGGCAATGTTGAAAACAAGGGAGTGGCCTGAGGTATAAATGGCTACCTGCTAAAAAGCATGGATACCTTTGAAAGTGAACTAGAAGATCAGCTGTTCCTTGAAACAGGTATTTATCTGGTGAATGTAACCTTTTTGTTATACTTTTGTTTTTGTTATTATCTCTATTTCTTTCTTTTACCTTTAAAAAATTACCTCTTTACCTTAAAAGAATTACCTTTTTTCTTACCTCCCATTCATCTGGTTTTACTCCTAATTGCCTTTTTCCATTTGTGTTCTATATAGAAATCTATAGAGGAAAGAATGAGCAATTTATTTGTATATATCCCAATGGAAACAAAGACATTTCAAGATATTATTTTCAAGTACAGAGTCTTGTGACATCTTATTGACTGATACTTGTATTACAGCAAACACCTTCATGGATTACAGTCCACCTCATCAGACATTTGTTATGATAAAGTTATCAACTTATTAAAGAAATATGAATCTTTAAAATAAAACAACTGATTTACATATTATCAATTTATAATATATTTGTTTACTGCACTTTGTTGCAGCACTTTGTATCTGTATAAATTAGTTATACAATGCAATAATTAGCTTATTGTAATTTAAAATCTTATGGTCTTCTGGTTTCTAACCTGATACCTTAGCCACTATATCATACTGGGTTTTACATACAACTATTCATTTAGTGACCATTCAACATTACAACAGTACTAGAAAAAATGGCTTACAACTGGTCCTTATACTTACAACAATCACAGCATGCCTATGGCTGTGATCAAAATTTGGACACTAGACAACTGGCATATATTTACAATGGTTACAGCATCCTAGGGTCACAACCTGCATTTGTAACCTTCCCAGAAGCTTCTAGCAAGCATCCAATGGGGAACTGGATGCATTTTACAACTGCATGATTTGTTTAACAACCCAGTGGTTTGCTTAACAACTATGACAAAAAAGTTGTAAAATTGCTTAAGACTCACCTAACTGCCTTAGGAATGGAAATTCTGGTCCCAAATATGGTTGTAAGTCAAGGACTAACTGTAATAATAAAACAATTGCAGAAAAATAACAACATTACTACTCTGTCCTATTTTAGTTGGACAGATCCAGACTAAGATTATAACTGTATATTTGTGCTAAACTCAGTGGCACTTCTAAATAAAAAGGTGTCAGCAAATCTGGGAAGATCAGAATCCACTAAATTAGAGATTGATTACTTAATGTCTTTTCTAGATGAACTAGTGAATTACTATTGAAATAGATGAATAAAGGTATAAATTATCAAGCACAAAAAGGGAATTTTCCTGATAAGCAATATGATTTTTGTATACATACAGATAGCCCTCAACTTACAGCCACAATCGGACCAGAATGTCTATTGCTAAATAGTTGTTGAGTGAGTCAGATCCAATTTTACAACTGTTTGCTGCAGTTGTTAAATAAATCATTGTAGTTAAGTGAATCATGTCATTATTAAATTAATCAGGTTCCCCTATTGACTTTGCTCTTCAGAAGCACCGAGGAAGGTTAGAATGGCGATCACGTGCCTCCTGGAGGATGCAATTGTTGTAAATACATGTCAAGTTTCCATACATGTCCAAATTTTGATCACATGACCACTGTGATCATTGTAAATGCAAAGACTAGTTGTAAAATGTCATTTTTTCGTTGTAATCTTAAGCAGTTGTTAAACAAATGGATGGAAATTGAGGGCAAATAGAAATCCTTTTACAATTCACAACTTTAAAAATTCCTTTATTATATATTTATTTACTGAAAAAGTATAAATTGGCTGATTTCATACATCCTACTGGATCAATGTTATCAAACCACTGTGGCCAGATACAAAGATACACAAAGCCATGTCTCATATGAATACTGGAGTTGGGTAGCCAGTAAATTTAAATAAATGACTTATTGAATAAAACACAATGAATGGAATTCATATGATACTCTTAAGACATTGACCATGGTTTATAAATCATAATCTCTGTAGTTACCCAATAAACAAAACTAAAAACCAAACAAATTACATTTTGTCTTAGCACAACACTTGAATTGGGATACAGAAATAAGCAATAAGAGATGACTAAGTATGCAGACAACATCAGCTTATAAAGAATGAGAATTAGTGAAAGAATAAGCAAACATAAAATGAGTGTATTAGAGCAAAATTCTGACTTCACATACATACATACTGAAATAAGAATAACTGACCACAAAAGGGATTTTGAGTTTATGGCAGATAGATCAACAAAAAAAATGTTGCTTCACTTGTGCTCCTGATGTGAAAAAGACACAATACAAGAGCTTGGAGGTCATTGTGAATTAAAACCGAATCTGTCAATATCGTAATGCTTTTTTACAAATCTATGATACATCCACACTTGGACAATATCTACAAGTTTGCTATAAGTAGCACAAAAAGGATACTCTATAACTGGAGAAGTTGCAAGTTGTCCAAGAAACTGGAACAACTACTCTGTGACAATATGACAATTAAGCATCCTCACAATTCTTTAAATATTTTCTTCTCACAATTCAAACTCTAAATCTTAAAGTTGAATGCCCCAATAGCTTAGACACTGTAAGCTTCATAAACAGTCTATCTTGATATGAACAATAGCAGGAGAGTTCCTCTTGAAAATGCCTTCACTTTCTAAAGTCCATTTCTTGTACAAATAAGCCTTCTCTATGCCTGTCCCAATGTAAAGTAACTCTTTTTCAGTCTGTTTTTCTAATTTCAGAAAAAGCACCTGGACAATTTTCATCAGTCAGAGCCTTAGAGTTTCAATTCAGTTTGATAATGACAATTTTGTAGTTTATATTTTAAGTGCTAGTGTCTTCACTTTTGAGCATCTAAAAAAAAGGGATATGTATATCGTAAAAATAAGTAACAGAATCAAAGATGATTTAGTGAAGCTGAATGTAGAAGTTTCAGCAATAAAAACGGGAAATGTTTCATGCAGATCTTAACTATAATGTGAAATTTTGTGTTTTCATGAGGGATGGGCAAACAACTTTAAAGAAAGTACAGAGAAATTCAAGAAGGATAAAGATTCCCAGTTGCAAAACAGTACTCATGCTATGCAGTCTTGTGTGCAGCATGCCCATTTCCCCAAACAACTAATTTTAACAGTTTACTGTTCTTAAGAATGACTGACTACTAGATCTAATATATTTAAAGTCCTCAAACTCTTGTCTTTTCCAAATAGCCTTTTATCTGAACAGCCAACTTTTTAATGAACAATTCCTGCACACAAGTCTTAAACACAGGGTATGCATAAAGCCTAGCACAAAGGGGGTCAGTCTTAAATCGTTATTTAAAATTCATTTGTTTACAATTAGTTTGCTTATCCAGTTCTTAACAAAACTAACATAAAACACCGAGCAGATAAACTATATTTAGGAATGCAGAATACCTCCGTTTCCTCTCGGCAAACATATGGAATGAACCAGTTTTGATACCATAGAATGGCAATGAGAGAAACCCAACCAACCAAGCAAAAGTTTAGAGGAAAAATACCTCGGGAGTTACTTTGCAGAAGATTATCCCCTCGGAGGCTCAACAGGATTTATTTTTAAAGGACTGCATCTAGGACTCATGCATGCCTCAAAGAAGCATACAGTATTTAGTAAGGAAAACCCTCCTGTGGAGGAATGAATCTGGAACCACGGCTTAAATCGGGAGTCTTAAATTCCTCACGCCCCAAAACTAAGAGGAGGGGGGATCCTTTTTTAAAATCCCGCAGAATATCTTTCGCATTAGCGGACTCAACTTCCCCGCACCCTCAGTGGGCGTTTCTCAAGGAAAAAGAAAATTCAAACCGCCGTTATCTTCCAGAGGGCCTTTTTTTCCTCCCCTTCGCTACCACCCAGCACCCGCCCCGCGCATATGCTCGGAAGAGAAGGCGGGGCAGTTCGGGGCGAGGACTCTTTTTTCGCAGGGGACGGTTTCAAGAGGACTCGCCGGAAGTTGCACCAGGCCCCAGTCGGCCTAAACGCGCTGCAAACGTCGTCAGGGAAGCGCAGCGGAGGCTTGACCCGGCGTGGCTTTCGCGGGCTGAACGCGTGGAGACCCAAGAAGGTGAGCTGAGGCCTTAAATCGTGCCCGGGTTACAGGTTTCCTTGGGGGGGGGGGGGGAGAGTCCATGCTCCGGTTTTGCTTGCGTGGTCTGGCGTCACCACGAATAATAGCGTGTTATATGTGGTGTAAGTAATTCCTTTGCCTGCGGTCCTCCGCAGGTAGAGAAACCAGGCTTGGGGCATGTTTGAACACGAGTCTCACTGTTTTCTTGCACTCTCGTGTATGCACGTATGCATAAGGGGCTAGGACGGGGAAGACGTTTTCACGAGCATCAGTGTTCAAGGTAATGCCCTTCAGAACTGTCCGACTGCAACTTCCAGATGTTTCTAAGATCAGGTCTCGGAGTTGTAATTCGGTGCACCTGGAGTTCATCAGATGGGTGAAAACTCACCTGTCTTCTTTTCCTCATGGAAACCAGGTATTGAGTTGAATCTTAAGGGAGAGCCTGGAATTCCCTCAAAGAAAACTCGATTGAACTCCATAGGATTTACTTCTGCACACCTGGTTTATACATGAGACAGAATTCCACTGTTTTGCCAATTCCACCGTTGATATGCAGTATATATTTAAAACCAACACTATCCCAGTTAAATGTTTAAGGAGATTTTCAATCTTCCAGGTCACGGTTGTCTTAAAGGTGCTTTTTCAAAAGGCATCTGGACTTTCTTTGTTTTTCCTTGAAGACCTTTTGCTTCTCATACAAGAAGCTTCATCAGTTCTAACTGGATGGCGGGGTGGGATGGGGGAATGGGAAGGATTAATTCTGTTGACAGATCTGACAGCATCTATTAGAACTAATCCATCCTCCCACCACCATCCAGTTAGAACTGATGAAGTTTCTTGGATGAGTAGCAAAACATCTTAAAAGGAAAAATATAGTCCATTTGCCTTTAAAAAAAAACATTTGAGACTATCCTGGTTAAATTATTTGTAATTTTTAAGCAGCTATTTCTATCCCAGGTTGCAGATTTTACTAAACATATTGGGTTTAAAAAATTTTCTTTTTTCAATGTTAAGGATTGTAGGGACACTAGTAAGATAACTAAAATTCCCTTTTAAAAGTGTTTCATCGAGTTATAGTAAAATACCATTTTTATGTGGGGAGCATTCCAGTCATCTAGATTATATAAACTTATTATATTCACTTATATGGGGGACTTCAATAAAAAATGATTATAATAGACTTCCACTATATGGCGCATAGACATGTTGAAGAATACCTTTCCCCCCTTGCTTTGTTTTTAGCATATGACTGGTATGCATTGTTTTTACTAAATCATGATACTAGTACTTACTGCTATTTTTATTCAATACTATATCCTTTAGTTTGGAACACTTTATTAAGGGTATAAAATCTCTCTATATCAAAGCAAAATACCACTCATGCATTCTCACAAAATCTCCAGAACCATGAAGTCTACAAACTTGAATTTTGGTACGTATGTTCCTCTTGGCTTCTAGGTGCTCGCTAAGAAAGGATTTTTTTGAAATGACCATCGGAGTATTAATATTTCATATATATTATTATTAACATGCTCTGATGCTAAGGAGTTCTATTCCCCCTCCCCACCTGAAAAGAAATCTGTTTCAAATACAAAACACAAGCAGAGGAGAGGAGTTTCAGGTTTAATTTCACAGCAGCAACCAGCTTTGGTACAGAACAGTTGAGCTAAGCCACTCTCAGGCTCCTTGCTGTCTCCTTGCTTACACAGCAAATACTGTTTCAGTTTCCAAACAGCCCTCAACTCTCACACACTGACAGGATGCTAGCTAGATGAATACCAATGGATGCTAGTAGGCAGAGGCAGAATTTTTCCCCCTTATTTTCCTCCCCAAAAACTAAAACTGACCATATAGTTTCGTAGCAAAGCACGGGTATCGAGCTAGTATTTTCTAAAGGCAATTTCAACATTGTGTATTTACTGCATGTTTCTTGGTTATCATTGTGCTAATATAACAGTAACGAGGACAGACATCATATTGCTTCAGTGATGGTTAGACAATGCTTTTAAGGGATTAAGTGGTAAATGCTGTAGCACAAAGGAGGCTGGAAACAGGTACAAATAGTGTTTTGTGTTATACAATTTTAATGGTATAAAATTGAATTCTTTGAATGCTGATTTATTCAATATGCAGGATATCTTCAACTTACAACCACAGTTGAATCTAAAATTTCTGTTGCTAAGCAAGATAGTTTGTCCCATTTTGCAACCTTTCTTGCAACATTTAGTGAATCACTGCAGTTGCTAAGTTAGTAGCATGATTGTTAAATTAATCTGGCTTTCCCATTGATTGCTTGTCAAGTTTGCAAAAGGGGATCACATGACCCTGGGACATAAATATGAACCAGTTGCCAAGTGTCCAAATTTTGATCATGTGATCATGAGGATGCTACAACAGTTGTAAGTATAAAAAATGTTCATAAGTACTATTGTAACTTTGGTCACTAAACAAATGGTTATAAGTCGAAGAATACCTGAAATTGCTATTTATGTGTTTATGGACTACATTCCTTTTCAGTTGCATAGTACTAATTAATCTGAATTGCAGGAAGCTTTCAAGGAAATGTAATACCTTTCAGTATGTCTTCTATCAACGTACATACAGAATAATTGTACTTAATCTATGAAAAATTATAGCACCATGTAGCCATATTCATTAATCCATAATACTTTCATATTGTTTAGCACTGAATAGAATTAATATTACAGTTGTGATTCTTTGTCATCAGGGACATAGATAGGCAAACATATTTGCTGTTTTGTGTCATGTAAATGTTCTCATGGTATTTATTTGTATAAGCGCTTTATGTGGTAATAAAGTACATTATTATTTTAAATTGAGTGGAACCATTTCAGATAACAACTGTAATACTGAAATTGATTAAACATCTGAAAATGGCATTTCTTAACATGCATCCCAAACATCATTACACTGGAGCAGTGACATTCTAACTCATATTTGTGTATAGCTAATACTAAATTCTGTTATCCTTCCCATGCCAGAAAGTGTATGAAAAGTAATTAGACTTTTAATATTTCGTAGCATTCTTCATGAAACTATTGTGCAAAAAATTGCTTTTGCTTTTCATATCCAACATCACTGTTTTTCACTTCCTTTAATTGTTCATTGTGTTCCACTGTGATAGGCTGCCAACGTAGTATTAAGAAGCTCCAGTATAGCCATGTTGTCTAACTTATTGTCACCCCCCCTCCCCACACACAATATACCATGATATAAAATAAATCGCTATGGTTCAATATGTACAAGATAGATATTTGTCATTGTGTTTCAGATAGGTGTTTTGTTTAATCTACAGTGATGATGATATTAGTAGTATTTTCCGTCAGAAGTTCACAAAGAAAGAATTGTAGCCCATGAGTTGGAGATAAATAGTGCTAATTGTAATCAAAATGTTTTTCCCCAAACTGTAGCTTTATATCTCAACCTTCCAGCTTCCACGGCTAGCACTGATGATGTTACCTAGTTAAAATGAAACCACTGCAATAAAACAAGCAAGCTCAGAGAGCACCAAGGACCCCTCATTTCAACCCTGAGCTACACATATTCTCCTTTATCTTTCAGCTTTACCCAGTTTCTATAATAATAAAGTGTAGAGACAATACTCTTATACATACTTTTTTAACATAGTGATAGAGTTGTAACATTGGAACATAAAAAGTATAGCTCCTCTTATTTGAATTCTTAAGTCAATATGGCACAGAATAATCTTTGATAAAGATCAAAAGAATCAGAATCTTCTCAATAGACTTATAGTTTAAAGAGTCTTACCTTGTCCATTAGTTTGGATTTCTTGGAACTGTAACCATTCCTCAGGAGAAATGAACATTGATCTCCCACAGACATAATTCAAGGTCATGCTTGCCATTAAACATTGTGTTATGAATTATGGTATCCTTGCATGGAGCACCTTACTGTTACGTTTTTATTTGCTCTGCATTGTGTGTACTTTTTGCACTATGTAAACATCTTGCAACAAAGTTATTGCAAATGCACCAGTAGATGAAAGAATCATTGTGATATTAATTTACTTATGTAGCTATGTAGGAACGATTGATAGTTTTATGTATTTGTTCAATTTACATTTTTTATTTCATTGAACACCAATCCCCAGTTTCTTGAATAACTTTCATTTTTATCCAGTTGATTATATCAAGTGATGTCATTTGTTTTGATCATGATAATTTTATATTTATACGCTTGTCACTTCTTGTGGGATTTTTTTTTTTTTTGCAAAATATATACATGTGAGGGGTTTTTTAGGACAATTGTTTCTTCCCATATTCCTGATTTATGGTGAACCTTTCATAAGTTCCATGAATATGGAACCAATTGAAATAAGAAATAACGCACATAGATTTAGTATCCTGATAGAGAATAGGGCAACATTGCACCTATATATAAGACAGTTAAGTGTTTCATATTTTTCACATAGCAAAAATGAGTACTGTATAATAAAGTAATGATAATAAAGCAGCAGTAGACAGGATTTCTATTTATGGTCAGCCAATCTATATTAGGGCGATTGTTGGAGTTCTCTATCTCAAAGATAAAGTTATAAATTTCCATATTATAATGCCTAGCATTGTGTATACATATACTGCATTTCTGAGTGCCATAGCACCAAGAACTTCAAAACCTCAACCACATATTTCAAGTTCATCTAGATCTGATGCTTACGTGAGTGTATATATTAATACACATCTTATCCTCTGTCTTTATCTTTTCAAATGTGCACAGAATTTGGGAG